GAGGGTGGGAAGGGACAGAGGGTCAGAAAGAGGGGCGGAAATAATTCTAGGAACTAGAAATGGAAAAATTTTTGTAATGTGCATGATTGAGTCACTATGCAGTGTGTACTGGATGGGAGATCACATTTTGTGTGCTGTGATGATGCTTAGGGAAGGAATGTAAATTGAGTTACAAAAAAAAAAAAAAAGTAAGTTTCAGGAATAAAATATATCTATTTAATGACTGCAGTAGGATATGTAGCCCCAGCTAGGTGCTACTTTATAGGATGCGTAAAGTTAGACTTGTGTTCATGGAAATGTGTGTGTCACCTGTGTTTGCTGTGAGGGTATTTGGATTGATTAGGGTCTTTGGTGATTCAATAAAATGTGGGGGGGAGGGGAACAGTCTAGAAAGCAAACATAGATACCAGAGACAGTGTGGGAGGAGAGTGGGAGGTGGCAGAGGGTAAGAGATAGGGAACCAAGGATGGGAGGGGGAAAAGCAAAACATACAGAAAACAAGAAATGGAAGATCATTTGCTGACAATAACATGTTTGTTGATGTGCTTGATTGAGACAATATACAGTGTACTCTGGATGGAAAATCTCATTTTGTATGCTGTAATGATGTACAGTGAATGAATGCAAATAAATAAATTGAAATTTAAAAAATGCCAAAATTGCTATCAGAAGAGAAATAAGAAAATAATTCCAACTTAATGTATTGTGATTATAACCTAGGAATAAAATCTATAGAAGCAGCAGAAGAAACAAAGGATTCTATCTATGAACTGGATCTTAAAGAATGAACAGATGGAAGAAGGAAAAGGGGGACGTCCAACAAAGGAAACCAAGCCTCTTACTTGAGATTAAGTGAAAGGACAAAGAGACTTTTATTTTTGGAGAGGTTTCTGCTATAGGGCGCGCGCGCTCGCCAGAAAGACAGAGAGAGACAGAGAGACAGAAATCACCCCCCAGGGGGGATGGTCACGCTGCAATCCCTTCTCCATTCTCCTCCCTGGCATGAGTTTAAGTCACTGGGTCTGGGACTCGAACCACAGTCAACTACATGGGAATCCAGCGACATAGCCATTACGCTAACTGCTGGTCCCAGGACAAAGAAACTTTTAAAGATCACAAAGGTACCTTTTTGGTATAAGTCACCTAAGGGGGAAAATAATCTTCAAGCTAAATAAAATGCAGACAACCCTCTGATCCCCAAGCTCAAGAACAGGGAACCCCTCAAGTGAGACAGCACTCATACTTTGCCTTACCCATAGCCTTCCTTTATGCTTTTCCCTCCTCCTCTCCCCCAGCTCTCTTCTCTTTAGGGAAGACAAAAGGTAATCAGAGTGTGAGGACGCCACACACGTGCACCAACAAAGTAAACTCAAGGGGCTTAAAAGAGACAGTTTAGCCACTCTGTGTTGGACTCAGCACTTAATGTCATTCCCAGTCTTAATCCCATTTCCTTGTATTGCATGCCCTGCGGTATGATTTGGGGGAGGGCAGGGCTTATTTGAGTTGGCAGTTAAGCAAGTTTTACACACACACATACAGTCTCCGAGTTCAGATTTGAAAGCACCGGCCAACCACAGGAAATCCATCAGTTCCTCCAAGGGAGTGTATAAGGAACAAGTGTCGGTTGTTAAGCATGGAAAATAAACCAGTAAGTGAATGACATCACCTCAGAGTTATGAACGGAGGACTGTGAGAGATGGGCGGGATTGTACGGACACACACTTACACAGTGTCTCAAAAAGGTCTACCCTTTGGGACCAGCAGATGGTACAATGGTTACATCGTGAGACTCCCACGTGGCCAACTATGGTTCAAATCCCAAATCCCGAATCGGCAGCTTGAAACTCACATGCGCGTGCATGCCCAGAGTCCCAAGAGGAGAATGGAGGGGATGGGATTGTGGAGGGGCCATGCCCTCTGGGGGGTGATTTCTCACTTTCTTTTTTTTTTTTTTTTTTTTTTTTTTTTGGTGGAGGTTTTTGCTATAGGGCACATGCGCTCGCCAGACAGAGAAATCACCCCCGAGGGGGGATGGTCACGCCGCAATCCCTTCTCCTCCATTCTCCTCTCGGGATCTTGGGCACCCCCCCACACGCTCCCGGCGTCAGTTTTAAGCCACCGGGTCCAGGACGCGAACCGCGGTTGACTACGTGGGAGTCCAGCGACATAGCCATTACGCTAACTGCTGTTTCCCGATTTCTCACTTTCTATCTCTCTGTCTCTCCTGCAAGCGCATGTGCCCTATAGCAAAAGAAGTCTGCCCTTCTCAGGTCTGGAACCGGTGAGCGGACGTGGACTTTGCTTTTCCAGTGCTCACCGAGGAAGGGGAGGGTGGAAGGAGCAGATTTTGCCCTTCATCCAGATCTACTGGAAGGAACCTCCCTGCCCTCCCATCTTTCCGACCCCAGTCTCTCTCTCTACAGCGGTCTCAAAGTGTGGCCGTGGACTACCGATGCACAAGCACCTGGAGTGTGGGGAAAAGCCCAGCACGGGTGGCTACAGTTGCAGAGGGCGGGCGCCAGTCCAGACCTACCCCGCCGAAGCTCTGGGACTCTGCACTCAGAAAACGCTTTCCGGGTCATTTCAGCACCCTAAACTTTGAGCAGCATTGGCTCAGAGCGGCAAGACCAAGTCCAAGAGTCCCCCAGGCGCCTTCAGAGGAGGGGGGCAACGCCGGGCAAGTAAGGCAGCCGACAGTAACTGCTGATTGCAAGGGGCTATTCAGACCGCCTACATCCTCCCGGCCGCGGAGCCCCCGAATTTGGCAATAAGAAAAAGCTCTCTGTAAGTTTTAAAGCGCTGCCAGAAGCCGCCGGTCTACGCGGCCCGCTGGCGCCTGGACTGGGGCTCCCTCGGCGCTGAGCACAGTCCCACCGCCCCTTGTCCCGCGGCTCCGCGCCTGGCCCCCGGCCCCGCCCCGGACCAGCGGCGCCACTGCCGGACCCTTCCCGGACCCTCCCGGCACTCACAGGCCGCCCGGCCAGGGCCAGCTCCTCTCCCCTCCATGTTCCTCCTTCCAGGTTTGAATCTCCCGCCGCTGGGCCACCGCCCCTCACCGTCGCCGCAGTCCTTCAGGACATTTCCGGTCCGCACCGCAGGGAAACTTGGGATTTGTAGTTCCGGGCCGCGGAGGTGAGCCGCGCAGGTAGGGAGAAGAGGACTGCCCAGGAGGGGCTGGGGCGCTCCGCTTTCCGCAGTTCCTTGGCTTGCTGCTCTTCCAGAGCTGCTTCGCTGCTAAGCCGTCTTATTTTAAGTGGTCCTGCCCATGCCCTTGCCTCTGTCATTTCCCTCGAGTATTCCCGTTAACCCTTGCTCCGCTACCTGTGGTATCCGCGGGTCCTGCTCACCTGCGCGCCTACTTGATGCCATGCATGAGATTGGGGGGTGAGGGTGCAGAGATTCTAAGAAGCACAGTTTGCTTTCTCTCTCTCTGGCAAATGCACGTGCCCTGTAGGGGGGAAAATCAAAAGTGAAGGAGATGAAACATTCCAATCCGTGAAAACAGCATGTGCAAGAGCAGGAGCTGAACTGGGGAGATTTAGCTCTTTCAGTTTCAGAACTGCTTGGTGAAAAATGCTTGTCTTCTTTTGCAGATCAAGTCTTTCAGACAACACATGCAGTCTCGGAGCAGCCCTCAGAAGAATGGGTGATTGTCTGCCTGGGATGGTGTCCACCTCCAGTCTCTTCTGTGATCTGAGGTGATAAGATTCCCAGGAAGGAGATTCATGACAACTGCGTTCCTTCGGTGGATCCATCTTCAGACCGATAAGGAGCTCAGCAAAAGCCTTTGCCTGTACCCACTGTTCCCCAAGGGCCCCAGTTTGAAGTCCCCAGTATACCAAGGTGTCATATTTGGGGGAGGCATTTCCTGAACTCCTTCACTGAGAAGAAAAGAGGTGTCAGTGGACACCTTTGTGAACAGGTGGCTGAGGACAGGATGGGCCTCCTTCTCTCTCTTTCTCTATCTTTGCCATTTTCTGTCTCCTTCTCTCTCATGTAAAAAAATAAATAACTTTTAAAAATATATAGAACATGGGACCAGCAGTTGGCGTAATGGCTATGTCACTGGACTCCCATGTGGTTGACCGCAGTTCAAGTCCCAGACCCAGTGGCTTAACCTCACGCTGGGCATGTGTGCGAGCGTGTCCAAGATCCCGAGAGGAGAATTGATTGGAGCGTGGCCATCCTCCTGGGGGGGGGGGCGTGATTTCTCGCTTTTTGTCTGTCTTTCTGGCAAGCGCACGTGCCCTATAGCAAAAACCTCTCCAAAAAAAAGAAAAGAAGAAAGAAAAAAGAATGATTTATTTGGGGCTAGCAGATGGTATAGTAGTTAAAGTGCTGGACTCCCATGTGGTTGACTATGGTTTAAGTCCAGGACCTGGTGGCTTGAAATTCATGCCAGGAGCACGTCTGTGTACTCAAAATCCCAAGAGTTAAATGTGGGAGAAGGGATTGCGGCATGGCCATCTCTCCTGGAAGGTGATTTCCCACTTTCTATCTGTCTCTTTCTGTCTCTCTGGTGAGTGCACATGCCCTATAACAAAAATCTCTCAAAGAAAGAAAAGAATTATTTAATTTTTAATTGCTGTAGGACACACGTGCTCACCAGAGAGAGATAGAGGGAGAAAGGAAGCTGCCCAGTTCAGGACTTGAACCATGGTCGGACATGTGGGAGTCCAGCACTCTAACCACCATGCTACCTGCCGGCCCCCAGGCTTGAGTTCTTCACCACATCTGCTATACCACCTCTATGGCTGTGAGACTGTACCAAAGAGGGTCTGCTGAGTAGATATTTCAGACGTACAATCAATAGGCTGAGACCCAGAGAAAAATCAAGGGGGACTGGCTTCTTGATTTTCAGTTTAGAGACAGGGCCGGTGGGCTAGTAACATGAAGTGCAGAAAGGGCAGAGTTGGGAAGTATGCTTTGTTGGGACAAGTGGAGTCCTAGGCCCACATTCAGAAATGACTGCCTTACTGACAGTGTTAAAATCAGGACCAGATGAAAAGTTCTCAGCGGGTATGTAAAATAAGAAGAGAGATCAGCAAAGGAGAGTGCTGGGGACACTAACATTTCGAGGTGGACTGAGGACCCCGCAAAGAGACGAAAAGGAACTGTCAGGGCGTGGTGGTAACGGCGGCTGATCCCACATGGCCGACTATGCAGTTTGACTTCCCGACCTGGTGATTTGAAAAACACCGGGCACGTGTGTGTGCATGCCCAAAATCACAAGAGGAGAATGGAGGAGAAGGGACTGCAGAAAAGCTATTCCCCCGAGGAAAGAGGAGACTTTCTCCTTCTCTGTCTCCTTCTATCTGTCTCTCTCTGTCTCAGTGGGTTCATGCTCCCCATAGCAACCGAACAGATGATAAAGGAAGAATTATCAGAAAAGGAAACAGAGAGTTAGGACCCAGAAGGTCATGGAAGTCAAATAAATAGTTGCAGGATGTGGAACTATTATATGGAAACAGCATTTAATCAAACAAGAAAATGATTCAGAAATGATCACAGGGTCACTGGGAGGTCACTGGAACCCTGGTCAGATTCAGTCTCTACCCCACCCCAAATCCTCCTTTCTCCTGAAGCCTGCTGAATGACGGACCGACCATATTGCCTACCTGGTCCCACCCAGGCTGTGGTGGCCTCTCGAAGGCCCAGTCCATGGGCAGAAGCTGCAGGCAGCTGGGAGAGCCTGCCTCAGACCTGGGCACCCCCGCAGGGTGCCGCACGCACCTGCTCACCGCAGGGCCTCAGGGCCACGCAGCAAGGGCTGCAGGGCAAACGTCAATGAACCCCAACATTTCCTTGTCGTTTTGTTTCTACCGAAGCCTTGCCTTAGGTACATGAGGGCATTTGCTTTCAGACGCGTGCCGCCCTGGGGCCTGCTGGCCTCCCATTCAGCAGAACCTGGAGGAAGCACTTTAGTGGAGCTAGGAGAATGAGTCCGGGGGCAGGAGTCCTCTGATTTCCTAGGCCTTTTCTGACCAGACACTTTTTTTTGGTAGATGTTTTTTGCCATAAGGCACATGCGCTTGCCAAAGAGACAGAGAGAGACAGAGAGACGGAAAATGAGAAATCACTCCCCAGAGGGGATGGTCACATCTCAATCCTTTCTCCGCTTGGGATTTTGGGCATGCACACGCACACGCCCGGCGTGAGTTTTAAGCCACCGGCTTTGGGACTCGAACTGCAGTCGACTACATGGGAGTCCAATGATGTATGCCATTTGCTGGCCTCCTGACCAGAGCCTTTCACCCTGCTCCCAAACATGAAACTACAGCAGAGAAGCACAGCATGTAAGCATGTGTGCTTGTAAAAGGGTCACTTCTGGGACAGCCCAAGCATATTTTTATCTTTTTTGGAGAGGTTTTTGCCATAGGGTGCGTGCGCTCGCCAGACAGACAGAGAGACAGAAAGCAAGAAATCGGGGGGATGGCCACGCCGCAATCCCTTCTCCTCCCGGAATCTTGGACACACACGCGCATGCGCCCAGTGTGAGTTTTAAGTCACCGGGTCCAGCACTCAAACTGCGGTCGATTACATGGGAGTCCGGCTACATAGCCATTACGCTAACTGCTGGTCCCAGCCCAAGCCCTATTAAAGCTGGCAACCTGCCTGCAGAGGAAGGGACTCTAAGCTAATTAGCTTGAATCAGAAAACCTGGGGTCTAGCCCCGTCTGCATGCTCTGTGACCTTCAGCAAGTCACACTTGCTCTCAGAGCTTCATCCTCGCCTCTGTGAAATGAAGGGCTGGGACCAGCAGGGGGTGTAATGGCTGCGTCGCTGGACTCCCATGTAGTCGACTGCGGTTTTTTGTTTTTGTTTTTGTTTTTTGGAGAGGTGTTTTTCGCCATAGGGCGCATGTGCTCGCCAGACAGACAGAGAGAGACATAGAGACAGAAAGCGAGAAATCACCCCCCAGCCCCAGGGGGGATGGTTACGGTGCAATCCCTTCTCCTCCATTCTCCTCTCGGGATCTTGGGCACGCACGCACACGCGCCCGGCGTGAGTTTTAAGCCACCAGGTCCGGGATGCAAACCGCGGTCGGCTACGTGTGAGTCCAGCGACATAGCCATTAAACCAACTACTGGTTCCCAAGTCGACTGCGGTTTGAGTCCCGGTCCTGGTGGCCTAAACTCACATCAGGTGCATGTGCGTGTGAGTGCGTGCCCAAGATCCCAAGAGGAGAATGGAGGAGAAGGGATTGTGGTGTGGCCATCCCCCCTGGGGGGTGATTTCTCACTTTCTGTCTTTCTGTCCCTCTGTCCTTCTCTGTCTTTCTGGTGAGCACACGTCCTATAGTAAAAGCCTCTCTCATAAAAAAAAAAAAAAAAAGAAAAGAAAAGAAAAGAAAAAGGGAATGAAGGGCTGGGACAGGTGATCTCTGAGAGTCGAGCTAATGACCAGTCTCATGTTGCTCGGGTTTATTCCTTGAAGTGAGGGACCACAGGTGGGGGGGAGGGCAAGAAGGGCAATGTATCTCAGGTGTCAGTGTCCCAGCACCACGAGGGTTCAGCACTAAGATAGGGCACCTGAGCTGTCACTCAAAGAATTCCTTTGCAGTGGAGGGCGGTCCCCAGTTGTCTAGTAACGGGGGCTGTGAGCTAAGAGATGGGGAAGTAATCCTAGCACAGGGGGCCATCACGGAAAGCCAGCTGCGGAGAAGACCAGGCGGTAAGGCGGCTGTCCGGCTAGGGGGCCCCAGGATGGTGGGGGTAGCTAGGAATGCCCCAAGGTTGAGGGCCTTGAAAAGACAAGGTTTCTGGGTGTTCTTAGAAGCTGGGGTAATTTCTTTAAAAAGAGAGTGCATCATCCTGGCTGGTACCTCCTAAAAAGGGAAGAAAAAGGAGAAGAAAATGGGAGGGGCAGAGAGTGCAAAGCCTGAGTCGTTTCCACTCCTTCTCCTGTCCCCTGAGAGGAGAGTGGGTGAGAGGCTTTGCCTTTCAAGGGGAAAGCTCCGGCAGGGTGCACATGCTGTTGGGATGAATGTACTTCGGTTTAAGAGGGCTCTGGGGACCAGGCCAGGACGTTGGGGCCCAGCCCCAGCCAGAAGACAGAGAGCAGGGGAGCTGGAGAGAAAGCTGGGGGCGGAGGGTAGGGGGTCCTCCCTTGGGACAGGGAGGAGGCAGTAAGCAGAATCCCGGGCCCCAGGAGGTTGGCTCCTTGTCAGCCCCTTAGCTGCCGCAGCTTTGGGCCCCAGTGCCTAGTAAGGCTCCTGGCGTGTGGCAGGACCTCACTAGCATCTGACCTAAACCGTAGTCTGAGACGGGACAGCCAGCGTACCTAGGTTGCAAGTGGATAGGGGTGTGTGATGGTGCAGGGGGAAGGTGGGGAATGGAGCACAGGCTCTCGGTATGCTGGTCCTTCATCCGTCCCTTTGTTTATTGCAAAAACTTAATTTTAATTTTCTTTATTCATGACAGAGTGTGCGAATGTGAGAGGGAGAGGCACCCTCCACGGGGTCTGGCCTGGTCATGCTGTAGTTCCTTTTTCTTCGTCCCCCAGCCCGTCAGGTTCTGGGCCTCCATGCGTGTGTGTAGTGTGTTCCCGGCTGACCGGGCTGGCTATTTAAACCTTGGTTGCCATGTGGGATCCAGCTTCTCTTA